TGAGAAAGAATCACATTGTTACTTGGAGACTCAAATTAAAACCAAAAGAGGCTGGGCAAGTGGCATGTGCCTGTAATCCCAGCACTCAGGAGGCTGAGGTAAGAGGCTCGCAGTAAGCGCAAGGCTACCCTGAGCTACATAGTGAGAGCCTGTCTCAAAACTGAACAAACAGAACACCAAAGGAGAGCCAGGTGTGGTGTTTCGGGCCTGCAGTCCCAGCACACTGAGCCACTGAGGCAAGAGAACCACACGTAAGAGACCAGCCTGGGCAGACAGATAACTTAGTGACTGAGTAAGTCCCTATCTTAAAACCAAAAGGCATATGACTAGCAAGAGGCCAGACAACAGAAGGCACATTCCGGTGAGCCCATTCGCATGGAGTCCAAGAGCACACGTGCCCACACACAGGGAGGTCTCTGGAAATCTGGTAGTGGTACTTACACCAGTGTACTCATTCATCAAAACTCAGACTAATGCTTAAAACTGGCACACCATGTTACTTTTGTGTGTGTGTGTGTGTGTGTGTGTGTGTGTGTGTGTGTGTGTTTCCAGGGATCGAACTTAGGACCTTGCGCTTGCCAGGCAAGCATTTATTCCACTGAGCCATCTCCCTGGCCCTTTATTGTATATTATGTCAATAAAGTTTTTTTGTTTGTTTTCTTTAATGGTATTGAGGGTTGAACCCAGTACAGTGCTCAGGAAATGCTCTACTTCTAAGCTACATACCCATTCCTTTTTATTTTTCAAATTTTAGGACAGGGTCTTGCTAAATTACCTAGGCCAGTCTCTAACATGAGATCCTCCTACCTCCGCCTCCTGAGTAGCTAGGATTCCAAGCACCTGATGTGTCTGGCTAATAATTCATTCTTAAAAATCTCTCTCACAAAAATGGTAAAGATGATTTCTGACCTAAAGCCAAAGAGACTCACTCACCCAGCAGCAAAACAAGATGGGAAGGGCCGGGGAGATGGCTCAGTGGAATAAGCACTTCCCTGGTAAGCTCAAGGGCCTGAGTTCAATCCCTGGTTCTGTCAACAAAACATGATGGGACCATGAGGAAGACCAGCCTGTGTCCTGTTTCCTTCTCCCTAACAGGGCACCAGCAGCCCCTAGATATAGTCCTCATAAACCACATGGGGTTGCATATTTCTGGGATGTTCTTTTTTTTTGTGGTGCTGGGGATTGAACTCAGGACCTCATGCTTATCAGGCAGGCATTTATTCTACTGAACTATCTCCCTGGCTCTCTAGGATGTTCTTTTGTTTCCTTTAGTTGTGTTTTGTTTTGCTTTTTTTGTATTTAGCACAGGTCTCACTATGTAGCTAGGACTCATAGTGATCCTCCTGTTTATAGCCTCCCAAGTGCTGGGACTACAGGCAAGCACCGCCACGCCCAGTCTCAAATGCCATCTCAGTGCACACGGGCATCAAACTCCTGGCCGCTGCATCTGCCTAAGCAGGTGCTTTAATCCACTGAGTTATTTGGCCAGCACTCTGTTTCCTTTAGTTTTCAACATCAGATAATATCTGTATTTGTCCAATGCTGGCCTGTCCTAAAGGCTACACACCTAAATTCATTCAACCCTTAGGACAACCTATAAGGACACAAGTGACAGGTTTTGGTCCTAGTATGAATTGCTAAAATCATTATGGTGATCATCTAATATGGCCAATGTCCTTAAAACAAAAGACCACCTTCCCAAGACCACCTCCCCTTTTTCCAACTTAGCCCAGGACATAATTTACTTCCACCCTTCCTGCCGCCTCAGGGAAGACCCCAATCAGCTCCTCAGGAATACCTAAACATCCCCTCCAAACTCCACCTCTGACAAAAGGCCATAGAAGCCTCAGCCTTCCTTGGTTCCAACAGAGAGAATATCTTCCATACCCCCCACCCCCCACCCCACGTCCTCAAAGAAAATAAAGCCCCTTTCCCTTCTGCCTGTTTCTTTGCTGCACTGGTTACCTGGAAAAAAAAAAAAAAAAAAAAACAACTATTAACAAGAACTGCCCAAAATCAGTATGTCGTCCATGCTTTCTTATCTACAAAGAGATTTATTTAAGCATTCAAGCTTAGGCTACTCCACAGCACCCACCCTCATACATCTAGACAGCAGACCACAGCCATTTGTCTCAGGAAAGGAAGCAGGCAGGGAGAAATGGTGCTGCTAGTGTAATCAGTGAACAAAAGGTCTCATTTCAGGAAGGTCTCAATATACCCAATTGATACAAAATAAAATGGATAAACAAGTTATTTATAAGAATATATGATGGTAACTGCCAGGAAAATGGAAAAAGGAAAAGGACTGGAACACAGCAATACGACTGTGCTGACAGGCTCTGGCCCTAGGACGAACTGCTCAATCATCATGGTGGTCGTCTAACGTGGCTGAAGCCCACAGAACAAAAGCCCACCTTCTCAAGACCGCCTCCCTCCCCTTCTTCTCCAGTCCAGCCCAGGGTGCAGTCTGCCGCCTCAGGGAGGCCCCCAGTCAGCTCCTCGGGTGTATCTAAACACCCCTCCAACACCACCCTGTCAGAAGGCCATAAAGACTTCTGAAAAGAAGCCCCAGCCTTCTCTGTCTCAGGTCAGAGGACCTACCTGCCCCATCTGCCCTCCATGTCTTTGGAGTTAATAAAGTCCTCTTTTATCTTTCCTATCTCTTTACTGCACTTTTTAATGAGATGAGTATATGAGTTCAAGGCCGGCCTGAACTGCATAGCAAGATCTTGTCTCAAAACAGAAAACAAAACAATGAAATGAGGTGAGTAGAGCTGAGTAGGCCCCTCATCTGTCACCCAGACAAAGAGAACATCAGGACAGCCAGGATGGCTGGAGCACAGGGGACAAACTTAGAAAGATGAGAGAGAAAGAGATGTATGGGAAGACCGGGCAAACCTGGGCCACTAGAGATTGTCAGCAAGAAGAGCTGCCACCAGCCTGTGTTGAGAGCAGAAATGCAGAGGAACACACAGGGCAAGAGCCCAAGAGCAGGGCCACACTCTCCACACATAGGAGCCACCAGGACTTCCTCATGGTCTACCTCCGGTGTCAAGGGACCAGATATACCCTCAAGGTGGCTGGCCTGGGCTACAGGAAGAACAGAGAAACCTTCAACAAAGACAAGGAGGACTTTCAGCAGCAGCTCAGAGTAGAGGCGGTAAGGTCAGTTAGTGTCTGCACACGTGGAGATACCTAAGGGGAGACTAATACTGAGCTGATCCACAAATGCACATGGTACCAGTAAGGAGGCTTGGGCTGGTAATAGCAATACCTATCAGAATGCAGGGAGTTGGAGTGACAGTGCAGCAGCAGCACACGCTTAGCATGCACAGAGCCCGGGTTCAATCCCTATTGCAAAGAAAAGGAAGTAAGTGAAAGTATTAGAGAAACAGGGCTGGCCAAGTATCCACAATTACAGCAACCTAAGGATACGCACAGAAGGGTTACTTGTACTACCTTATTGTTGTATGTTTTTGAAAATTTCCAAGATAAAAGTTGAAAAGAAAAAAAAGAGAGGGAAGAGTTCACTTTCAGGCTGAGGGCCAGAGGAGATGGCTGGGGGCATAGTGAACTTCAAGAAAGAATTTCAGTCCCACCTTCAGGGGTGAGACCTGTCTCTTATCTTAAGTGGAAAGGGCAATAATTTCCACGGCAACCTATCTTAGGGAAATTCCCACACTCGCCAGTGTCTTTGGATCACTTAACCTGACAGTGCTGTGGCTACTGGAATATCGAGTGACAGCTTACACAAGCTGTTAGTTCATCTAATTTTGACGCCCATAAGTATTCGTTCGTTCATTTATTTATTTATTTGGCGGAACCAGGGATTGAACTCAGGCCCTTGCGCTTGCCAGGGAAGCACTTATTCTACTGAGCCATCTCCCGGCCCCTCGTTCATTTATTTAGCAGATGCCTGTTGAAACCCTACTATGCGCAGCACTGGCTAGGGATACAAGGTGAGCAGAACAGACGCGCTACTGCCACAAGGTGAAACTGCAGAAGCTAAACTCAGCTAATCTGCATGTGAACCTAGAGGTGGCGGGCCCGTGCTCAGCAGAACATTTAATGAGTTTTTTCCCTATGTCAGACACCCAATGTGAGTAATGAACAAACCTCACGGTCCTGGGTAGCCAAGGTGTTGGGAGGCCCTCGAAGCTCTAGACTAAGAAGCTTAACCGGGTAATCAAAGAAACACCCCAGATCCTTTGGAAACGCGGGGCCCCGCACTCCACTGCAGCCCAATTTAACCGCACCCCAACCCCCTCTGTATCCCGCTCTCCACTGCAGCGCAGTCCCTGCGCTCAGCTGCTGCACTGCAAAGCCCTTACCCCGCCCCCATGCTGTCGGTCCCGCCTCACTCGCTCTGCCCCGCCCCAGGTAACGGCTCCACCCTGCCCGCAGCACCGCAGGCGCCCTCGCCGAGCCCCAGAACAGCGCCCCTCCCACCCTCAAACACCAAAGCCACACCCCCACTGACACTCCGCCCTGATGTCCCGGTCCCACCCTTCCCGCTGCAGCGCTACTCCAACAACCCAGCCGGTCGACTGCTCCTAGCCTCGCTCCTTCGCCCCGCTCCGATCATCGCCCTCCCCCTGTAGGACTAGCTCCTCGCGAGGTCCCAAGACGGCGTCCCCGCTTGCTCAGGTCATGGCCCTGCCCTCCCCTACGCCAACAGTACGCCCCAGCCCGCGGACACCGCGGTCTCGCGCCTTAGCCCTTGGAAGCCATCGCTCCACCCACACCACTAAGGCGCGCCCAGCCCTCCCCGCGGCGGCCGGCAAACCGCGGCCAGGCTGGCGCTTTAGCCCCGCCCCGCCCGAGGCCCCGCCCCTACGCCACGGCCCCGCCCCCGCGCAGGCCGGTCGTCCACGCCTCGCCCCTGACATCACGGCCCCGCCCACTCCTCCGCAGTACAGACACCACTTCACGCCCACCCGGCGGCACTCGGCCCTCACGGCCCGGCCCGCCCCTCCCCCTTAGGTCACGTCGCTCCTCACCAGCTCGAACCGGTTGTTGACTCGGACGCCGTCCTTCCCCGTGCCTCCGGGGAGCCGGACCCCGGGGCCCCGCTTTGGTCCTTCTTCCGCGTCATCGTCATCACGGAAGACAAACTGCAGGGCGCCGGGCCCGAGGGGCTCCTGGCCACGCTGTTCCCCCCTCAACCTCCGGAGGGCCCGGCGCGACATAGGACCCGACGCCTGTCGTCTTGAGGGAGCAGGAAAACCAGAAAGCCAGCTGCCGGCGCGCCTGCGCACTGACGGCGCACGGGCCGAGGCTGGCGCGTCGCGTCTGCGTGCTGCGGCTCTCCGGAACTTCCTGTCCGTCGCCTGTGGCGTCAGAGACGGTCCGCCGCCTCCCGCGAGAGTTGCGCGACCCCAGCCGGCTCCGCGCCGCGTTCGTGCGGGATCCTCGAGCTGTGTCGGGGTGGCGGGCGGGGAGGCTCGGCGCCGTGCGCCCCTGTGCCCTGGAGCCTGGTTCCGAGAGTCCTGGGAGGGAAGCAGAGTGCACAGGGCGTTTTTCTCCTTTATGTAATGAGAACATGTGGCTGGCCGCGGTGGCGCACGTCTGTTAGCCCAGCACTTGGGAGGACGAGGCGGGAGGATCAAGGCATGCAGGGCTTGACAGCGAGACCCTACCGGGCGGAAAAAACACCAGAAGCACACACCCTAAACTTAGGACCCTCCAGTTGCCGGTTGCTGGGCACCCCTCCTCCCCCAAGATCAAGTGGGACCAAATCTCAAGAGTAGGTCCTGGGAGTTGCGATTCAGAACGTACAGGCATGGCATGGGAATCTGTCCAGAGGTAGAGGTTTGTCACGCTACTGTGCACTGTAATGTTCCAGAGAGAACTTTAAAGATTGAGAACTGCAAGGGCTGAGAGCAAGATGAGCTGGTGTAGGGGCGAGGAGGAGCCGGGCTTGGGGGATGGCCTACTGTGGGGCTAATCCAGGCTTCGGGCCGCAGAGGGCCTGGGTTTGAGCTGGGCCTGTGCATCCAGACTGCAGGTAGGTCCAGCACCCGCCAGGCCTGAGACGGGGCAAGCAAGGGCTGGGTTGCAGGCTGGCTCCCGGCTGCTGTAGTCCCTGAGCCCCACCGCCTCCTCCCTGGCCCGGGACCCTAGGCTCTGCTGAGGCTGGGAAGGAGTCGGTGTTGTACCTTAGGGAATGGTGTGTGTGGCTGGCAGTACCGTGAGGTCCTCCGCCAGGCATGCTCAACACCCACTCTCCCATCCGGCCTGTTCACAAGCAAGCTAACTGTTGGTTTCTGCGTTTGTGTTCCCCAGTCTACACAGGCCTGTTCCCTGCCTTGAGGACAGAATCCAGAGTCCTTAAAGCCCCTGCCTGGGAATCTTCCCTTCCCCAGCAGGCAGTGCACCCTATGAGGGTCACATGAACAGGAAGTGCCACGCAACTTCTGGGTACTGCAGCCCGTCCTCAACAAGGAAAGCCGTTTGTCTAGATTGGGCTGAGGCTGTTTCAGTGACCAATTCTGCAGCTCCTGCATGGAGCTTGGGGAAAGATTTTAGGCTGGCGCTGCTCAGAGCCCAGAGAGACGGGAGAGACAGTTCCAGTCTTGACATTGGAGTGTGCCTGCCGAGCAGCCTCAGGAAGCAGCTGAGTGGGGCACTCGCTGTCGAGGGATGTGCGCTTACTGTTGGCTATAAGCATTCATTTGCAAGTGTTGTGGGGTTCAAACTGGTTCTCTCTGCTTTGGCAGCGTGAGCTGGACACATTGCCCATGCCAGTTTCTGCTCCGTAAGCTCCAGAAACTCATGGCAATGGTACTTGGCATGCTGGGGTGTCTGCCCATGAGACTGCTGCACAGACGAAACTTCTATTGCTGTAACAAGCGGTTCCTGCTCAACCCCCTTTATTTTTGGTGCAGTACCTAAGGATGTAGGCGCCTTTGCCCTGCGCTACTTCTCTAGTCTTTTTTTTTAAAGTTGTGTTGTTTTTTTTTTTTTTGGGGAACCAGGGATCAAACTCAGGCCCCTGTGCTTGCCAGGCAAGCGCTTATTCACACTGAGTCATCTCCCCAGCTCCTAAAGTTTTTTTTTTTTCTTTTTTTTCAGTACCAGGGATCAAACTCAGGACCTTGCACTTGCCAGACAGGTACTTATGCTGCTGAGCTATCTCCCTGGCCCTAAAATAGTGTTGTTTTTTTTTTTTAATTTTTATTTATTTATTTATTCATTGTGTGTGTGTGTGTGTGTGTGTGGCCAGCTCAGCCCACCAGGGGGCGGGGCTGGCTGGCATGTGGTGCTGGGGATTGAACCGCAGTCCCTGTGCTTTGCCAAGCTTGTTCCAAGTAGGTGCTTTAGACCACTGAGCCATCTCTCCAGCCCCTAAAATAGTGTTTTGAGATGATCTCATTAAGTCATTAAGTTGACCAGGCAGGTGTTCAACTTGTGATTCTCCTGCCTTAGCCTCCTAGAGTGCTAGGAGTGCACAGGTGTGCTCCTGGTTCTTATTTTTAAACAGGAATAAAAACACAAGAATAAGCAGTCTTTGTTTAAGCACTGGGAGCTGGATACTTTTATTAGCTGCTCTAATTTTGTGTGTTCGAATTTACTGGACTCCAGCTGCTAAGAGTATTCTTTCCCATAGGCCAAACTGTTAGAAGCCTTGTGCCTCGGGGCCTCGAACCCCGAGGGCAGGAGTAAAGTCTGGAGTCAACTTCCCGCACTGAGCTTCAGTTTCCTCACCCACCAGGAGTAATGCAGAACACCCCTTGTGGAGCATGTGAGCTGTGGCGTGCGCAGTGCTGGGGCTATCCAAGGCCTGCAGTCTTCTGGGCACACCAGCTGGGTCGTCTCCCAGGAGAGCAGGACTAGGGGACTGAGAAAACAGACCAAAAGGGGACCCAGGCCAGCAGGTGCAGCCAGAGGTAGCAGGGAACAGCCTGAGCCATTGTACGTGCAGCACTAACTGTGATAACTGGGGCTAGGCAGCTGGCAGAGGCTGCCCGGGCTTCTATGTGTGTGTGCTAGACAAATACTCTGCTGCTGAGCTATATTCCTAGTCCTTATAGTTTTATTTTAAAACAGGGTCTTTGTAAGTTGCCCATATAGGCTTCAAACTTGGCATCCTCAGCGCTGGGGACATAGCTCAGTAGAAAAAGCGCTTGCCTGGCAAGCGCAAGGCCCTGAGTTCAATCCCCAGTTCTGAAAAGAAAAAAAAAAAAAATTGCATCCTCCTGCCTTAGTTCACCAAGTAGCCTGACTCGGGCTTGGTAGACAGGAGTGGGCTTGGATGCCATATTTGATGGGCCTTTTCTGGCCCTGGGTGTAGGCAGCCCCTCAGAGCCAAGCCTCAACTTCAGAGAACTTGGGATCCTCCTGCTTCAGCTTCCCACCATGGCTGGCTTTGTTCCCAGATGGTCACCACGAGATCATCTTTATTAGGCTCACATGGCTGTGGGCATGACTACAGAGCTATGCCCCCCGGCATCCCCAGGCCCTCTGGCCTGCAGTGGGTGAGAGGATAGCACCAGTGCATGGGAAGGCCTGGAGGGGTGGCGTGGCAGGGGTGCTGGCAGGGGCAGGGCCCAAGCTCAGCCTCTGCCCTCAGATGGAGACACAGGACACCTCCCACAGGGTGCCACCCACCCAGGAGCTTCCAGGTGCCTTGGGCCGCTATACAAAGGTAGAGGCAGGCAGGTTCCCCAACCCGACCCGGACTCCTATCCAGGAAAGAAGTGGCCATGTGGTCTGACCTGCACAGGAGAGAACTGGGGCCTGGTCAGAGTCTGCTGGAGATCCAGGGTCTGGAATCCCCCACCCTGCTCCATTGGAGTCCTGAGTAGGAACAGCCTCCCAGGGGAGGGTCCTGCAGTGGATCTACCCCCAAATGAGCAGTAGGGCAAGAAAACATATAAATATATAGGTTGTGTGCATATGTTATAGAAAGGCGTCTGTCTGTGTATATATGTACATGCGCAGGCCTGGCTGCCTTGGGTCGTAGTCACTGGAAATCCAGAGTCTTGGTGTCAGGGAGGTAGAGGGACTGGGTCTGGCGGCTGCGGCGTGGGGTGGCGTTGAGGGCATCCACGCTCCTTCGGCTGGAGCGAACGACATCAGCCACAAAGCTGGTGCAGTCACTGCAGACGTCTTTCAGGACGCAGCCGTGCGCGTAGATGTGTGGGAACTCCTGCTCTACGCTTCGCCACCGGGGTCCTCGCAGAGACCTGGGGTGGGGGCAAGGAGCCGGCCATGAGGCCCGAGGCCCGGCTAGCCCTGCCCCTCCTGAGCACAAGCGGCAGAGGCCTCCGTGCACAGCTGCCCCTCGCCTCACCCTGCGCTCCAGGCGCCCTTCCCCTCAGGTCGCAGGCTGCTTCGGGGCATATCCTGGACGCTGCCCGACCTGCCCCTTCCTGCGGGGCTCAGGCCAGGTCGCTCCTGTCCTGCAGCCCAGGCCCAGACCCGCCCGACCCCCTGGCCCCCACAACAAGGCAGAGCAACACACTGGAAGACCTCTCTCCTCTGCGAAGGCGTGGCCGTGGGCATCGTGGCCGTGGGCATCCTCTGAGGACTCTCAAAGCCCAGCGTGTAGACGGGGATGTGAGCACACTTCTTAGAAGGCATCTTCATCTGCAGTACAGAGGGAGGCCGGGCTGGCCCGGGCGGACCAGGTGCAGGCCCAGGCTGGCCGCCACTTCAGCCCTAGCCCCTTCCTCTCGCACCCACACTTCCCTTTCTGCTCACATAGGTGAGCACTTGTAGGGGCGCAAACTGCCTTTTTATGCCATAAAAGGGCTAGCTAGCATTTCTTCATTGTCAGGGTAGGTTATAAAGAAGCTCCAGCTAAAAACATCTTTAAAGCCGGGCATAGTGGCACGTGCCTGCAGCCCCGGCACTCGGGGAGGCTGAGACAGGAGGGGCTCTCTGCGTTCACAGCCAGCTTAGGCTCCATAGTGAGGTCAAGAGCAGTCTGAACTACAGAACATGACCCTGTCTCAGGAAAAAGAAAATAAATTTTTTTTAAACTAGGTAAGGGAGCCTTTAAAAGGTCACACTCTTGGCCAGTATAAGACCCGGTTCTGGACAAAGGGCCAGATAAGGGGCCTGGTGAGGGTGGGATTGTGCAGTACACGCAGCAGGAGAGAGCGAATGCCCGTCTGCACTCACAGACTGAAGCCGGCGCGAGCTCACCTTTATGCTACAGGAAGTGCAGACAGCTCTGGAAGGGAAGGGAGGCGGCGTCAGCGGGACGAGGACGAGGAGGCGGCAGCCTCTGGCCGACCAGGGCCGGGCACAGCCACCCACCGGCCTGGACTCCACTGCGGAAGCCTTTAACACACCTCTGCCTCTCAGCTTCCCCTGACGGCGTGGCCTGGCGTGGCCGGACCCCTCTCACGAGGGGCGCAGGAAGCCCTCAAGGGAGCGGCTCTGTTCTGAGCATCCATGAACATTTATAAATCCTGCGCTCAATTTTAAAAGTAAATGCCTTCCTGTAAAACTTCCTTTTTTTTCCCGGAACCGGGGATTGCACTCAGGCCCTGGTGCTTGCCACGGAAGCATTTATTAAAACTCCCCATGTTATGTTAGTTACGATTTAGACAGCCAAACGACAGAGATGACCTCTGCTGGCAATGCAGCCTCTACCCTCCAGACCAGACTAAGCATATGTTAACAAAACGTGCATACTATCTTACAAATAAAATTAAGTACTGTTCAGACCGCTTTTCATTTTACATTGTTTGGGGGCCTGGCCATAGCTCAGTTCTTTAAGTGGCTGCTTCCACAAAGCTGTGAGCCTCAGGTTGCTGGAGTTCGACTCCCACAACACTCCAGCCAGACAAACCATGCCTGAGGGCATTCAGAGCAAAAAAAAAAAAAAAAAAAAAAAAACTCATTTTACATTGTTTTGGGTTTTGTTTTTTGAGTCTCCCCTGTAGTTCAGGCTGGCCTTGAACTTGCTGAGGTCCAGCTGCCTCGGCCTCCAGCTGCTGGGATGACAGACATGTGCCACCACACCAGGCAGTGCTATCAATTATTGATATTAATGCTCAAGTAACCAGTTGTGGCTTGATTTCTCCTTTCAGTAGACACACACAAAGTGGAGCAGCCTGGGGTTTCAGGTCTTGCTTTGATGAACCACAGGCCTCCCCTGGACTGCTGCTCAGCGTGAACCACAGGCCTCCCCTGGACTGCTGCTCAGCGTGAACCACAGGCCTCCCCTGGACTG